AATCTTTCCAATACCCTTAAATAATTGACTATTTAGTGTCAGATGAATTGTTCCAGTTTTTTCTGTAAGCTTAATTCAGGTTTAGATGACTTCATTCTTAAAATAATTGCTTCTGACTGCGACCACCTCTACAAATCTCTTATTCGTCTCTGTATGGAATACTGTTGTCATATTTAATCTGGTAATTCTAATTATGCTCTTTTTCTTTTAGACAAGGTCTAAAATGTATTGTAAACATAGTTGGACCTGCTCTATCTGACAAGCTTGAGCCTCGCTCCCATCATCTTAAAGTTGCATCTCTTTCTCTTTTCTATAAATAGTATCATGGTCATTGCTCAAATAAGCTAGCATCTCTACTGATTTAACATATTTAAAAGTTTTTGAAAACATATTTTAAACTATTGTAAACAGTGTCATTAATAAATTCAATTAAATCTTTTACCCTCCCTTGAGTACCAACTATTTTTTACCCTCCCTTGAGTACCAACTATTTACACAAAAAAGTAACAATATTTTTAATAATTAATTTTTTTATGACAAATAGTTTAAAAATTTACACTTCAGGTATGCTTTTATGAAAGTTATGGCTATGAAAATAACCATTTTTAGTTTACCTATTTATTCAAATTAAATCAATATTTTTTTTGAACAGGGTATTTTTTCATTTTTTGAACAGGGTATTTTTTCATTTTTGAACAGGGTATTTTTTCATTTTTGAACAGGGTAATTTTTCACTTTTGAACAGGGTATTTTTTCATTTTTGAACAGGGTATTTTTTCATTTATTTATTCAAATTAAATCAATATTTTTTTCATTTTTGAATTTTGACTGTTTTATTTATTTTTGAGTATCTGTATTATTTTTTAAAAAAAACTAGCATAAAATAACTTGTCTATGTATTAGGGTGGTTCTAAAAACAAATTTTTTGGAAAATATCTGCTGGCACCCTCTAAATGTGTTCCATATAATAAACACTGGATTTAAAATTTTTTTGAATAAAGAATATTTTCAGGGGTTGCTACCAACATTAGGGACCCTCTAACATTTAATAGGTCCCTAATAATATATAAAAAAAAGTTTTGTCATTTGGGTCTCAAATTAAGCATAATCATATAAAAATTTCAAAAATATGAATCATTTTATAATTAAAATATTATTTTAGATTCTAGTAAACAGAAAATAACATTTTATAACTAAAAATAAAAAAACAAATTTAACAAGATTTTTTTATTAAAACTTTTTTATTATAATCAAAAAATATTGTGAAGAAAGTGAAAAATAACAAAAGTTATAAGCAGGTTATTAAAAATGTATTAAAATCATTAAGAAAAAAAAATTTGGTTTTAAATGATTCACTCCCAACAAGGCTGCAAGCAACTACTATTAAGTTTTTTTTTGGACCCAGTCTAGAAAAGAAAGAGCATCATCAAAAGATTTCATTCTCTACCTCTACATTAGAATTGTAGAGATAGAGAATGAATGCAAAAGTAAGATAATGGCAAGCATGATAAATAGGCTTGTTCGGGAAGCGGTTGCGATCGCATTCTATTCCTGACCATGCAAATTATATCCAGTTGTGATGACTTGGTCATGGCTTTCTAGAGGTTTTGATAACATTTAAATTTATGTATGTTTCCCAAGCCTTGCTGGGAAGCGAGCTCAGTTGCACGTCTTGTACGTGCATGCTTAAAGTAGTTTTTTTAAACAACTTGACCACGTTTTTATATAGTAAGCATTAAAATGCATTTTATATATTAATTTATAATATATTTATAGTAAAATAAACCGATGGACTTAAGTAAAATATAAATTTATTAAACGATACATAGTGTGCAGTTTGGAAACTAATCATTCGGTCAATAGACCGCTGTTTCAGAGGTCTGGCGCATTGGGGAGTTTTTTTAAACATTATAAAGACACTGCTAAAAGTAAAGGTCATTATAATATTTTTATTATAACACAACGATTAAATTATTTCTTTTATTTATCTTACTTAAAAAGAATTGTTTTAAATATAACTTATATATTAATATAATAATATATAATAACTTATATATTGCAAACTATGCAAAGCATGAAATGGTTATAAAAATATATTTATTTTTTTATTTATTATATAATTCACCTACAGTTAGTTTTATTAGAATCTTGTTGAAATAAAATATAAATACTTAAATAAAAAATAATATTATACACTTTGATTAATTGAAGAACATTTGTTTCTTTACTAAACGATCATTAATAGTAAGTTGTTATTTTTTATAAAAGTGTCACTTAATTTGATAAAAAAATTATAAAAGAGAAAAATTTAGAAATAATTTATTCTAAACGCAATTTATTTTGTTTTAATTTTTTTCTTTGTTAAGAATTCATTTCTTTTTTTAGTTAATTTTTTTATTAGTTGTCTCCTATCACATTAAGTTTTTTATGCCCTATTTGAAATGTTCTCAAAGCATCTAAAAAGCCGTGGCCATGTTGTCACAACTAAATATTAACCAACTAGGACCAAAGATAGAACCTTGTGGTACCCCAGAAGTTACTGGAAAAGAAGAAAAGTGTTGAACATTGAGGAAGATCTTAATAATGGGTTAGAAAAAAATGATTTGATAATTACCAGCAAGGCAAACTTTTGATTTGTCAAGAGCAATAGTCCTTGTCTTGCTGTCTACATCTAATGCACGATGAATCTTTCAGTTGAACCACTTAGCAAGTCAGCCATAAAACAAGAAGATTAAAAACCTTACTAATAATAGAGAGTAGACTGTTTGGAAGATAGCTGATAGGAATTATAGGAAGATAGCTGA